CACCGGCCACCCCACCGAGCGTTCTGGTACCGGGCATCCAACCACCCGGCGTCGGGCAGCCTCACCGGGCACCGGGCATCCCGGTACCGAGCACCCCCACCAGACATCCTGCTACCGGACACGGGCATCCCACCACCAGGCACCCACACCGGCCATCCTGCCAAGAGGCACAGGGTGTCCTGGCACCGGCCACCCCCACCGGGCACAGGCAGCCCATTACCGGGCACCCCTAACAAGCACCAGGCAGTAGTGGGAACCCCCACCGTGCACCATATGTCCCAGTACTAGGCACCCCCACAGAGCAGCAGGCGTCCCGGTACTGGGCACCGGCCACCACGCACAGGCATCCCAGTACTGGGCACCCCCACTGGCCACCAGGGCTCTGGGCACCAGACACCTGAAGTGGGCACTGGGCATCCCGGCTGTCCCCACTGGCCAGCCCAGGCAGGGAGCACGGGCACCATGGTACTGGCCAGCAGCATGGCACAGCAACCGGTTCCACGTGGGTGCTGTCGCCTGGGGCCCCAGCACCGACACAGCACGGGCAGGCATCCGGCACCAGGCGCGGTGGCATGCCAGGCAGGAGGTACCAGCACCGGTAGAGGTGCAGGCAGGGGTACTGGGTACCAGTACTGGCACCACGCACCAGCCCTTGCTCCACTGAGCACCGGTAACCCTCCCTGGCACAGCCACCAAGGCCAGGACCCGGTGGTGATACTGGCTTCGGTGGGGACACAGCACGAAGCAGCCTGAAATCCCACCAGCTGGATTTGGGGTGCCACTGGATGGGTGGCCCCGCTGACCCCCCTGTCCTGTCCCTGTCCCCAGACTGCAGCTTCACCTGCCACTACCGGTGCCGGGCTCTGGTGCGGCTGGACTGCAGTGGCCCCCCAGATGACGGCGACGAGGACGATGGCACCGAGCAGGCACTGGAGAAGGACACCAATGTGGTAGGGCCTGGCCTGTGTCGGCGAGGGAGGGCACGGGTCGGGGGTGGCCAACCTGGGGTCTGCCCGGGCTGGGGATGACTGTGCCAGGCTGTGCCGTGCTGTGCCGTGTGAGGCCATGTCATGTCATGCCAAACTGTGCTGTGCCACACTGTACCGGCCCATGCTTTCTGCCAAGAAAAGTTTGATTTTGCCAAGAAAGGTTGGATTTTGCCAGGAAAGGTTGGACCTTGGATCCTTGAGGTCCCTTCCAACCTGGTATTCTGTGATTCTATGCCGTGCTGTGCTGTGCCAGGCTACGCCGTGCCAGGCTGTGCTGTGCCGGGCTGTGCTTTGCTGTGCCATGCCAGGCTGTGCTGAGCCACGCTGCGCTTTGCCGTGCTTTGCCATGCCAGACTGTGCCAAACCGTGCTGGGCAGTGCTATGACATGCTGGGCTGTGGTGTGCCATGCTGGGCTGTGCCATGCAAGGCTATGCCAAGCCATGCTGTGCTGTGCCACGCCAGGCTGTCGCATGCCAGGCCGTGCTGGACCATGCTGGGCTGTGCCATACTGGGCTGTGCCATGTCATACCATGCTGTGTGAAGCCATGCTGTGCTGTGCCATGCCATGCTGTGCCGTGCTGTGCCATGTCATGCCTCACCATGCTGGGCTGTGCCATGCTGGGCTGTGCCAAGCCATGCTGGGCTGTGTCATGCCATACTGTGCTGTGCCACACCAGGCTGTGCCGGGCCGGGCTGTGCCGAACTATACTGGGCTGTGCCATGCTGGGCTGGCCTGGGCTGTGGTGTGGCATGCTGGGCTGTGCCACGTCAGGCTGTGCCAAGCCATACTGGGCTGTGTCGTGCCATACTGGGCTGTGCCAAGCCGGGCTGTGCCAAGCCATACTGGGCTGTGCTGTGACATACTAGGCTGTGCCAAGCCATACTGTGCCATGCCAGGCTGTGCCATGCCGGGCTGCGCTGGACCATACTGGGCTGTGCCATGCTGGGCTGGCCTGGACTGTGTTGTGCTATGCCAGGCTGTGGTGTGGCATGCTGGGCTGTGCCAAGCCATGCTAGGCTGTGTTGTGCCATACTGGGCTGTGCCACCTTAGGCTGTGCCAAGCCATACTGGGCTGTGTCATGCCATACTGTACTGTGCCAAGCCATACTGGGGGGTGCCATGCCAGGCTGTGCCGTGCCGGTCTGTGCTAGACCATACTGGGCTGTGCCATGCCAGGCTGTGCCATGCTGGGCTATACCAAGCTATATTGGGCTGTGCCATGCCATACCATGCTGTGCCAAGCCGTGCTGTGCTGTGCCATGCCATGCCCTGCCATGCTAGGCTGTGCTGCACCATGCTGCTGGGCTGTGCCACGCCAGGCTATGCTGTGCCATACTGGGCTGTGCCGTGCCATACTGGGCTGTGCCGTGCTGGGCTGCGTTGGACCATACTGGGCTGTGCCATGCTGGGCTGGCCTGGGCTGTGGTGTGGCATGCTGGGCTGTGCCACGTCAGGCTGTGCCAAGCCATACTGGGCTGTGTCGTGCCATACTGGGCTGTGCCAAGCCGGGCTGTGCCAAGCCATACTGGGCTGTGCTGTGACATACTAGGCTGTGCCAAGCCATACTGTGCCATGCCAGGCTGTGCCATGCCGGGCTGCGCTGGACCATACTGGGCTGTGCCATGCTGGGCTGGCCTGGACTGTGGTGTGCTATGCCAGGCTGTGGTGTGGCATGCTGGGCTGTGCCAAGCCATGCTAGGCTGTGTTGTGCCATACTGGGCTGTGCCACCTTAGGCTGTGCCAAGCCATACTGGGCTGTGTCATGCCATACTGTACTGTGCCAAGCCATACTGGGGGGTGCCATGCCAGGCTGTGCCGTGCCGGTCTGTGCTAGACCATACTGGGCTGTGCCATGCCAGGCTGTGCCATGCTGGGCTATACCAAGCTATATTGGGCTGTGCCATGCCATACCATGCTGTGCCAAGCCGTGCTGTGCTGTGCCATGCCATGCCCTGCCATGCTAGGCTGTGCTGCACCATGCTGCTGGGCTGTGCCACGCCAGGCTATGCTGTGCCATACTGGGCTGTGCCGTGCCATACTGGGCTGTGCCGTGCTGGGCTGCGTTGGACCATACTGGGCTGTGCCATGCTGGGCTGGCCTGGGCTGTGGTGTGCTATGCCGGGCTGTGCCGTGCCGTACTGGGCTGTGCCATGCTGGGCTGTGCCGTGCCATACCGGGCTGTGCTGTGCCATACTGGGCTGTGCCATGCTGGGCTGTGCCGTGCCATACTGGGCTGGGCTGCGCCATACTGGGCTGTGCCATGCTGGGCTGTGCCGTGCCATACTGGGCTGGGCTG